ACTTTCGCGGGGATGGCTCAGCAGTATATTTTAAAAGGTGCTAGATTAGGGGGACTGGAAAGTGTTTTTTTTTTTGCAAATTTAAATTTGTCATTTAAAGAATATGTAAAGCAAACATTTCATATTCCTGATATGTGCCTGCTATACCATGTACTTGTATGAAAACGTATTCTGTTCTCTTTGTATTGCTTCCTTTGTGTAAAAATTCCTGGTGATCCTGGCAGTCCTTCTGCTTTCCTGTTAAAACTGACCACACTAGACATGAGAAAACAGTGAGGTCTGTTTTTTTGGCTGTGCTGAGAACTCTGCTTGCCCTCCTCCAATGGTTAGACTTGTGCTGATCCCCCTCCCCCGCACAACTATTCACTGGGAAGATATGTGTACTGCTGCTTCTCCTCCCCCAGTTCTCTGAACTCGTTATGCACCCCTGAACAGAGAGTATGTGATCACTTAAAGGGGGAAAAGGAGTATTTATAATGTTTTTCATATGAATACGCAAATGTTTTTCCTTCCATTTCTATTTTAAACTGAATGCCTTGTTTTACAAAGTGAGGGTTTACATATACTCTAACTATTCAGTTTATAAAGCTGAAAATAGGCTTGCTGCCCATTGAACACATGGGTAATACAATTGTTTTATCACATGGTAGCATTGTTTGGATTCTTTTTAAAGTTGATCTCTAAGAATTATTTGTACTTCACACTTCCTCTGGTTCTGCTTGGCACAATGTATGCAACTATCACGGTATGTAAGAAATGATGGTAGTTGGTCCTAATATAGAAATAGCTGCGATCTTCCAGGTCTTGCTCAGGTTCTATGTGAGCGATGCCTCACTTCACATTAACTACAGGCAGGTCCTCACGTGACACTGTAGTGAGGCAACCATTCGCATAGAAACTAAGCAGGACCTGGAAAATTGTGACTATCACTGGAGTAGTGCAGAATACTACAGAAAAATTCCACCTTCTCCAGTGGTCATTCAGATGTGAGCAATTAATAGTTACATTGTGCCAAGCTGAACCAATGTAAATATGCAAAACATATCATTTTTGTTCAGCTTTAAAGGAAAGGGTCACTTTAAGTCTCATCAAGCTACAATATATTTTTTGTGTTCGTAAAGGAATTTCTGAAAACCATGAATATCATTGACTACAATTGTTGGAAAATAGTCTCTTTGAATGGCTTTTGAGCTCTTTCTCTTGATAAAGTTAAACTGCAGCCTACAAATGCAGCAAGTAAGAATTCTCTCTACAGTTTTATCATTCCTGAATTTAATAGAGAAAAAAAAAATCCCTCTATCTACATAGGATGTGCAGATGGCGCAAATGAAAAAGTCCAAGCAGAGAAATCAATTCATCACACACACAGAATTATAAGAAAAAAAGGAACATAACGCGCACACACAAACCTTTCAACTTACCTGCCAAATAAAATCTGGATCAAAGCACAAAGACGGAGATCTCTACAAGGAGTAAGGTAAAACCACAGATTCATATTCATTTCGATTCTCCAGTTACAGCACATTCAAGTCATCGGTTCTGCCTCGTAATCATAACTATGAAGGACTTTTGGCATGGAATCAAAAACACCATAAGCTAAATTACAGTAGCGCTGAACAGGGGGAATAGCAGCAATTCGTGGTAAAAGACGGGGGGAATGATTATGACATGAAATCGAAATAGCTCTATTCATTAGTGGTGCCGTGATGGAATTTAGATAATGAAATTCAAGCATTACACTTGAAACAATATAGAGGTTTTGCACAAGCTACAGGCTAATAATGCAACTTGGTACTTTGCATCCTACTCAGGAAAAGTCATAGCTAGCTTTCATAAATGTCAGAACAGCTTTATACACGCTAAAACTAAAAAATATTACATTTATATACAATTTATTCCTTGGCTTGGGAAAAGAAAGGTTAAAGCTGAACTCCAGGCAGATATATACAACACACAATGAGCTCTGCATTCATGTTTACATCATTACCTGTACTATAGTAAAGTGTATGTTACCCCAACATTTCATATTTCAGGTATGTGCCTGCTGTACCATGTACTTGCATTAAAAAGTATCCTGTATACCTGGTGATCCTGCCAGTCCCCCTGCTTTCCTATTTCAAACTGACCATGCCAGACATGGAAGCACATCCACCGAGTATGGTCAGTTTTCCTCTTTGCATTCTACATGGGATCACAGAGAACTGGAAAAAAAGGCGCTGTGGAAAATGCTCTCAGACAAGCACCTTAGTAAAGGTGCATCTTTATTGGGTGAGACAAAGTAGCAAATATAATAAAATTGACCAGCCTGAAGTGGACAGTGTGACTCCAATGAATGGCCCATCTCCTCTGAGGGGAGCTGAGATCAGAGAATGCTCCTGTTGGCTTCAAATCACATGGTGTCAGCGTACCAGCGTCCTGGGTGGTGTCACCATGGCAAGCGAAGGCAGTGTCCAGCGTTGGCTTCAGCTGGGAGCATATGTAGGGTTACCAAGATGACATGTTTCGCGCAGTTGCGCTTTGTCAAGTCTTGCCTTCGCTTGCCATGGTGACACCACCCAGGACGCTGGTACGCTGACACCACGTGATTTGAAGCCAACAGGAGCATTCTCTGATCTCAGCTCCCCTCAGAGCGGATGGGCCGTCCATTGGAGTCACACTGTCCACTTCAGGCTGGTCAATTTTATTATATTTGCTACTTTGTCTCACCCAATAAAGATGCACCTTTACTAAGGTGCTTGTCTGAGAGCATTTTCCACAGCGCCTTTTTTCCAGTTCTCTTCATCATGCAAATGATTAACAAGGCAGCAGTGGTGAGCTCATGTCTAACTGTTCACATGTTTCCACCTGGAGTGGCCTCTCTGTGCTCATTTGTATGAGTTTTCCTTACATGGGATCACAACCTGTCTTTACTTCAGTGGTCAGACTTCTGCTGACATGTCTCCCTCACAGCTAATTACTAGGAAGATCTGTGTACTGCTGTTTCTCTGCCTCCTGCTGACCCACCCACCTGCACAGCTCATTACAGTGTATTTCTGTCTCTGCATTTTATCCTGGACTGTGTCTGTGCTCCATTCAAGTCTCTGCTGCCATCACCCCCCCCCCCCCCCCCCCCAATGAGCTAATCAGGTGCTAATTGCAAATGCTGACAAGGAACATGCTGATATGAGGACAGAGATCCAGTCTGGTCACGTCATCTGGCTCCCCCGTGCATGTCACCCGGGACTGCAGGGAGAGGAAGAAGTGACAATAACGGCTGGGACATAGGAGCCTATTGGTGACGTTACCACACTTGGAATTTCCAGCCACTCGACACTCCTTTCCCTTGTAGCCTCCACTCACTGACAAAAGGGATCACGTGACTGGACTGGAGTACATCTTTTCAACACAGGTTAGTCATCATAGGTAGCAGGAAGGGTGAAGGGACATTTTTAAACATAGCAGCATTAGGTAGGAATTCCACTTTACTGGAAAGGCAGCCCACACTGAATGTTAATGGGGGAACCCTCCCGCTGAGCTATTGTTTTGTGACAGGTGAGAGATTTTCCCACCATGGAAATACAACAATCAGTGCTGTCAGCTATAGCCTGCAGCGCTAATCAAGCAGGGAAAACCCAGCAGGGTGGTTGTACAGAAGAGGATCAGTAGATCCACTTCTATACAACCACAGCCCTCATACATGAATTGAAATTCGTCTGGTCCCTGCTGACCCGGGCAAATATCAATCCATGTATAACATGAAAGTGGTGTCATCCACTTTGCTGTTCTGTATAAGGCAGCCCATAGATTAGTCAGTTTTTTTTTTGTTCAACCAATGGGTTGAATGAAAAAAAAACTGTCTTGGTTCCACATTGAGTTTGTGGATCGGGGAATCCTCCCTTCTGAGCTATTGTATTCTGATAGTGGTGGAGTCTTCTCTGCCATCAGAATACAGTACACTGATCTGCATTACAGGCTATAGCGGGTGCCGATGATCAAGCAGGGAGAATCTGACAGGGAGGTTGTACCTCCCTGCCCATACATGAATCCCTGCTGAATCAGCCAAATTTCGATCCACGTATGGGCAGTTTAAAGGGCTATGTTTGGACTTGGGTTGACTGATTTTTTTTTTTTTGTTAGAAGCAAACAGGTATTCTATTCTCATACATGTCTTCAAACAGCTCGGCTATGCTGTATATATTTTAAAACTTGTAAACGTAACTGCAGTATTTCAGTACTTATGACAGAAACATTTAATAGTAGCTACAGCTACAGTACTTGCCTGGAGTTCAGCCTTAAAGTGTTCCTATGGAAAAATGCTGTAGTGATCTACTGAGATATCTAGATTCTACAATCTCTCATTTAAAGATGGGAAGTGGATAACATAAAAAAAGCAGAATAATCAGCTAAAACCTTTGTGAATATTGCCCTACATAAACAATATTAACAATGTAGTATGTCATCAATAATTAATAAAGTGGAAGGCGAGACAAAACTTAACTAAGCTTAAATCTACTCCCACCCCCATTCTAAGCCTATTCTAACTACCATGTACAAGGAAAGATGACTGTACTTACCTATTCTTAAGGGTTCTGATCCAACATATCATGATCTGCAACAGGCTCACTAATTGTGACCCATTCAAGCAAGTAGGGAAGAGTCGCAAACGCCCCACAATTGCATACAATGTATGAGGCTGTGGCATGCTTGTCCAGCAAAAGTAGGGAAATGTAGCAAGGAGGTGTCACATAGCCTCCTCACAAAAGTGTTCCGAATGTAGAGCGTCAGGTTTAGACGCACATGTAAAGCTAGCTTTAGAAACCTTTAGACAGGTAACAGACCACAAACATGTATTTATTTCATATTTAGCAGTTTGCCTTGAGTTTCCAATAAATCAGGCAACATCCATTTTTATTCAATATACACCATATTGCCAAAAGTATTGGGACACCCCTCCAAATCATTGGTTTCAGGTGTTCCAATCAATTCCATGGCCACAGGTGTATAAAATCAATCACCTAGGCATGCAGACTGCTTCTACAAACATTTGTGAAAGAATGGGTCACTCTCAGGAGCTCAGTGCATTCAAGTGTGGTAACGTGATAGGTTGGCACCTGTGCAATAAGTCCATCCATGAAATTTCCTTGCTACTAAATATTCCAACTGTTAGTGGTATTATAACAAAGTGGAAGCAACTGGAACAGCAGCAACTCAGCCACGAAGTGGTAGGCCACGTAAGATGACAGAGCGGGGTCAGCGCATGCTGAAGCGCACAGTGCGCAGAAGTCGCCAACTGTCTGCAGAGTCAATAGCTAAAGACCTCCAAACTTTGTGTGGCCTTCAGATTATCACAACAACAGTGCATAGAGAGCTTTATGGAATGGGTTTCTGTGGCTGAGCAGCTGCATCCAAGCCTTACATCACCAAGTGCAATGCAAAACATTGGATGCAGTGGTGTAAAGCACACCGCCACTGGACTCTAGAACAGACTGGAGTGACGAATCACGCTTCTCTGTTTGGCAACCTGATGGATGTGTTTGGGTTTAGCGGTTGCCAGGAGAACGGTACTTGCCTGACTACATTGTGCCAAGTGTAAAGTTTGGTGGAGGGGTGGATTATGGTGTGGGGTTGTTTTTTTAGGGGTTGGGCTGGGCCCCTAAGTTCCAATGAAGGGAATTCTTAAGTTGTGAGCATACCAAGACATTTTGGACAATTTCATGCTCTCAACTTTGTGGAAACAGTTTGGGGATGGCCCCTTCCAGTTCCAACATGACTGCGCACCAGTGCACAAAGCAAGGTCCTGACCTCAACCCAATAGAACACCTTTGGGATGAATTAGATACTGTGAGCCAGGCCTTCTCGTCCGACATCAGTGCTTGACCTAACAAATGCACTTCTGGAAGGATGGTCAAATATTCCTATAGACACACTCCTAAACCTTGTGGACAGCCTTCCCAGATGAGTTGAAGCTGTTATAGCTGCAAATGGTGAGCTAACTCAATATTGAACCCTACGGACTAAGACTGGGATGGCTTTAAAGTTCATGTGTGTGTAAAGGCAGGCGTCCCAATACTTTTGGTAATATAGTGTATATATATATATATATATATATATATATATATATTCACTTCATGTTTTCTATAGTGTCTTGCGATTCACAATCCATGTCTCCCTTTTGCTGTTCCTCTCAACCGTCTCATTTTGCTAAAAGCACTTCAAGATAATTTACCTGGACATTGATTTGCAGAAAGTGCATTTTCTTAATGGCTGTATTTCCACATAATTAAACTGGCTTTTAAGAGATAACCTGCAGTTCAAAAAAGCCGGATTTCGTCAAATCAGCTGTGGCATGTGCCATTGCCAAGCAATTACTTGAGAACAGCAAAAAGATTATGCAATGTTATTTGGTCTCTATTCACTCTGGGGGTCTAGAAAAAGTTTTTTTAGCCTAAAACTAGCTCATTTAACCCATCTTTGCTGTGCTGCCATTAGTTCTAAAGTGGCACCCCAACACACATACACATGAATGTGCATCTTTTATTTTTGATTCTGCACACTGCAACACCTGGTAGTGCGTTACCATGCATTGTGTTGGCCAGAAATGTAGGTGCATTGCTGTCATTGAAAATGAATGGCACTGCAATGAACTAACACATGTAATGTGTGTTTGCGATAAAGCCTGCATTAACAGACGGATTATCACAAATCACAGGCATGAATTGGCTCTCAAAAGAAGCAAAGATCAGCAGGGTGACATGTGAGTATTAACTGATTTCTTTACAGGCAGACATTTTAATTTTTTTTCTAAGTGAAAGGTCACTTTGATGAAGAATTTTGCAAAAGCCTTTCCAACAGTGAGCTTGTGCACCATTTTAGGACTAATACCTAAGGCCTCACTCACGAGGACATACCTAAGTGTATACCAATACAAAGGGTGTTGCCTGCATATGGGGGTGCACAAGAATTCCATGCATTCACGTGCAGACAGCCCCATTCATGTCTATTTGGATGCAGTGCCTGCATGCACACATCTGTTGGTCCCAATTTGGCAGCCATTGGGTGTGGTTCCTTATAAGCACACTGTCTGCGTTTAGGGCTGTGCATCCAAACTGATGTCTAATTGCAAGCAACGGTTGTGTCTGTGCAACTGCTACATCCCAATAGACATGAATGGGACTGCCTACATATGGATGCATAGAACACTTGTGCGTCCTATGTGGTGAAAATGGTAATTTGCATGGGACTACATAGTGGTACACCAGTGTGTTTATATTTAGTTGTGGGTTATCCATGGTTCACATATATGTGGCCGTGCGGGGCGTGTTTTGCGTGGGCACGAGAGCCCAATCATTTGAATGGACTCCTGTGACACGCAGAGAAGTCTCTGCACTTCTTCTGAAAACGCAGCCTGCATGGGAACCTCGGTTCCCAATATGGTTGCTTTTTCCAGTGCGGGCGGCGTGTCATTAAAATTAATGGCACCCGCCAGCGGGTCCACATTTCTCTGTGCGGGTGGTGCGGCTGCACAAATTTCTGTGCGGATCCGCAGCGGCACCACCCACACAGATGTGAACCTAACCTAAAATGGGGTAGAGTTCACATTTTGTTAGGTTTTCATTTCTGCCTGTGACCCTGCTGGGGAAATTTCTGCCACATCCAGTCCCTGTGACACAGGTACAAGGTAAGCATGACTCGTCCCTGGGAAGAAAAGGTGCAGTTAGCAATACAATACTGCTATATGTTCAATGGAGAAGATTTACTAAAACTGGAGCATGCAAAATCTGGTGAAGCTCTCTATAGAAACCAATTATCTTCCAGGTTTTATTGACAAAGCTTAATTGAACAAGCTGATGTTAGAACAGTGGTTCTCAACCTGTGGGTCGCGACCCCTTTGGGGGTCAAACGACCCTTTCACAGGGGTCGCCTAAGACCAACGGAAAACACATATTTCCGATGTGTACAGAGCGCTACTGTGTAGAAAGCATCTGCTGCGTTGAACGCAGCTACTGTGTTGAAAGCAGCTACTGTGCTGAAAGCAGCCGTATTGAAGGTAAAACGACACATGAATTATAAATACTGGGTAAAGAATTTTATGGTTGGGGGGTCAACATAACATGAGGAACTGTAATAAAGGGTCACGGCATTAGGAAGGTTGAGAACCACTGTGTTAGAAGCGATTGGCTACCATACACAGCTGCACCAGATTCTGAGTGCACTAGTTTTAGTAAATCTCCCCCCAATCTGTCTTTGTCCCCACTGGGTAAGTGACAAGAAGTGAGGGTTAATCCACCAAACAACAGGGACAATAAAAACCCGCCTTTCTCCTTTCTCTGCTTCCAGAACAAAATAAAACAGAAATGGGATTAAAATGTAATAATTCAACATATTCTGAATGTTTTCAACAAAAATAAGGAAATAAGAAAAAAAAAACTTACTTTTTAACCTATTTGGCAAATTCAGATATTAATGTAGATGCAAATCCTAATGGGATACTAACTGAAAGCGCAGTACCATTGTTGCTCTCCCGAGGCATCTCCAGCCTCGGGGGGCAGCCTTATAGAAGGTAATGGGGGATCTATGATGCAGGTACAGCCAGCACAGAGAACACTTCTTCAAATAAACATTAGTGGAAGCCATAGCTGTGGGATGAAAGTAAGTAGGCATCTGAAGAGGATGAGGTACTTTAGGTGATGGGGAGGAGCTGTTATTTGAGGATTGCTAGAGGGCTGTTACATGATAGAAGGAGCAATAAACTACAACCTGTATGCACTGGTACGGTTAGATGTCACAACATGAGGATTAGCACAGGTCACATTATGTTGCAGCAAGTTATGCAATAATTATACTTATTTATTATACTTCGAGTCAGGTGACACATGCACATTTATTTCATATTTAATTCCACAATGCAATTATTTTATGTATACAAGTTACATATAGCTCAATTCACTAAGCATGTATGCATTATTTGCTGCAGTGATTGTCAATGTGTATGTAAACCCCAACAATAAACTTCACTTATTTGAACTCTTTTGATCTATTAACTATATCACTAAAAGAGTTTTGTTTTATCTGTTTGATAAGTGCTAAAAAATTCTGTTGATCTGTGTTCTCTGCACACTTCATTTGTTATCTCAAACAGCCTTCCTAGTTCTTACCTTGGACTACAAAATGCTTAGCCTTTATGCTGTATGGATCTGAAAGTGGGAGTGGTTGAGCAGTTTTGGCAAAATACATTGGGCTGGGCTGACACCAAAAGAATGACAGTGCCCGCAGCCATTTACATGTAATCAGACATGCAGTGACTACCTGTGAGTTATCGTCAATGGAAACAGACTGCATGCAGAGCCGATAATCCACTGGTAAGCACTGCATGTCTGATTACATGTGAATGGCTGCTGGCACTGTCAGGGCTCAGGTACACGGGACATTTGGAAAACACTTCTGAATGATGGAAACTGACTGCTGGAAAATGTAGGTTAAAAAAACGTTTTTGTTTAGCCGCGTTTGCATACCGCATTTATGCGTGTTTGCGTTTAGAAGTGTTTTTTAAAAGATAACATCAGAAGACCTTCCAAAATGCCCTGAAAAATAGTAAAAAATTAACTATTTCAGACATTTTGAGAGAAATAGAGAGCAGAAGCAGAGAGAGTAGTATGTGTTGAGATTACCTGTCTTTTCTGATTGTATTCACTATGGATCCCATCATGAGCATAATGCGGCACGTTCTACCATTTTTTCCTTCACACAAAACCTGGAACTGACTGCGGTGATGTGCTAGGTCCATCTGAATACATGAAAAATGTTTTGCATGCATTTCAGATGATGAAAAAAGGCTCTGGACAGCATCTGGATATGGAAAAGTTAAAAAACGCTTCTAAACGCAAACGCTTCTAAACGCGGTTAGCCGTCCTTACGCGCGTTTACAAGCATTTGGCATTTGAAACGCTGATAAAATCTACTCCTGGATCCAAGTTTGATGCGTTCAAAGAAATGACTATAAACGACATAGTATACATGGACACATAGGAAAACATTAGGGAGAGTTCAGAGGCTGCTGAAAAAAAACGCAGAAAAGCTCCTGAAGGTGAGTTAATCAGCTGCAGTGTACATGAGCCCTCAGACTCTCATTGATATGAATGGAACTTTCCTACAGCTGTTCACAGGACACACTGCTGAATCTCCCATAGGAAATCATAGTCCCAAATACACATGTCAATGAGGCCACAAGTCCACAAAAATGGTGTGTTGTCAACCCACAACAGGACTTCAGACCTGAGTGCATTTTGACCAGATCAACAGACATTTTTTAATGTACTTTCAGGGTCTTTAAAGGGATACAATACAGAGAAATGTACATGTATTACAGCGATGTACTAAGTATGTTTTTTTTTTTTTTTTTCTTTTATTTTGCCTTGACATGATCATCATTTTTTGCTCTCATTGCTGAATATATAATTATGGCAAATAATAATCATCATAG